ACTTTAGAACTGAAAAAGAAATCCGTTTAATATGACATTATTTATTATTAAAAAATTTAATAAATTTAACGTATATATGAGTCAATTGGAACCATTTGAACATCATTATAGTAATCAATATTTGGAGGTATTCGGATGCTGTCATTAAAATCGACACACTTATTCTGACAAAGTCGTATGCAAGGAATGTGGGATATTTTTAAATAATGTAAATATTTTTCATAATCTATGATAGCCAAATACAAGAGTATATAAAACACTGAAAATGAAATTTAATGCTTATTTCAATCCGATCAAAGTGTTATAAAGTATCTTAGTTGAAGGAACACCGAAAGGACCTGCTAAACAACGCTAACAGATTATCGAATTCATTTTGTAGGCTTCTGAAAGATTAAATCTATCTTTAAATACATCATTTTTAGCTATTAACTACATTGATGAATATTTCAGCAGAGTTACGATCAATGAAAATTAAACCTATTTATTTGTAGCAACTGCCTTAATGCTTGCAGCAAAAGCCTAAGAACTTGATGAACGAGTCCCTTTCATTAGTAAACTGAAAAGATATGCCTCAATGACTAATCATCCTGAAGTCAATCAATATTCAATTCAAGAGTACAAATTTGCAGAGAGATCCTTGATTCAAACTATGGACTGGAAATTGCAAAGAGTCACCTTACTAGATCGAATAGAGGCTCTCCTATCATTTGGAGTTATAGATGATGATGATAGTTTGGGACAGCAACTACAGAAAGAAAACAAGGATAGTTCACATTAATAGCACGTTAAATTGAGGGATCTTTAAGAGAGTTAAATATTATAATATGTGAAAGAGGTTGAGAGTAAGTATGCAGACATAGCATTACAAATCATAAGAGGTATCACAACTTAAGTAATAATTAGATGATCACTTGTATTTCGAAACAGATCAGACTATCCTAGCACTATCTTGTGTGGCTTACTTGAGAAAGAAGGCAGGATTACTCAACATTTGGTCATAGTAATTACAGTGTCTGACTGGTATAAGTGCATAAAAGATATCCTCTTCTGTTTCACAAATTATGACACTTATTGCTAAAAGCAAGAGTTTTAAAACTATCACTTCACTTTAAATAAACCCGTAGGAAGTTTACTTTTAACCTTTAATGCCTACTAATACATTGACGACCATCAGTACTAATCATCTCAACAATCGACCATACCCATTCGAAACCAAACGGTAATCTTATGGGGATATTATGATGCAAAATAGTAAACTGAAGATTTATTAATCATAATCGACTCTGCAAATGCTTGATGTGCAGAAATAAAACCATTTATATAAAAATACTAATTTTACTACAACCACCAATTATTCATACCTCAACGAGAATCCTGTTCCTCATACTCACATGGTGCAATAGTTTGCTGCTTTACAAACTCAAGAACTTGACAAAAAGTATGAACAAGTGCATAAAGTAAGTGCTAGCATGTTCAGGCCTATTTAATGATTATATGAATTATTATATCATTACTATTGCTAGAACATATATTTTATAGCTTAATCAATGAATTTGTATACATATTGGTATTGTTCTGATGTGTGCACCATTCCCCATCGTTACTCTCTCAATCTTCGCACTACTCCAAAAACTGAAATCCGAAACTAATCTGGGTTCTCAAATATTTCTTGCTTTATTAATATTATTGTACTCGCATTGTCAATTCCTATGTGTGATTTGTAGGTTGTGAGAATGATCATCAGGTTTACCAAGGATATCAGCGTTCCTGTTCTCCCTACTCCTGCACTAGAATATTGAAAATGAATATTAAATTACCTGCAGTGAAATACTACTTTCTAATCATTCAAGACCTTGTCCAAAATTTGATTAATCAATTCCATTATTATATTGAAGTCGTTATGATTGGGCACTCCTTAATCTGGCCATCCACACCATTATAAATGAATTATTTATTTTTCTTCTCCATTTTGTTCTTACATTTACAGAGTCCTTTTTATTATATTGTTTCCCAAATCTTCTTAACTAACGAAATTTATAGTAATATTTCCTACAAGTAAACTCTCTCCTATATTTCTAGGCCAGTATTACTCACATTACACCTTTCATAATTTCAACACTTCAATTACCTTTCCATTTTCTTTTAGATTACAAAGCATTACAATGCTTTATATATTTTCTTAAGAAATCATCCTCCAAAAATGTCCTATTGTTTAGGTCACTGGACCTTAAGTGGCTATCATCATTTTCTCCTTTCCATTTATTAGCTAACATCTTCAATCATTTCTTTACATTAATGTAATCAGCATTTATATATGATTCCTTTTAGTTCTCTTCTTCATCGCATTTCAACTTGACTATTGAATGTTTAACTATGATAACTTTTAATGATACAAGGTAAGATGTTGCCATATCGGTTTAACTTCAAAATGTCAGGGTGAAAATCATATAGGTTTTCATTGTGGTATTAGGTTTCTGTAAGACGTCTTAAAATCTAAGATTTGATCATTTATGCTTTACTCTGAATTCCATTTCTTAATCTCGATTCTGACTTTACTCAGTGAACTCGGCTATTGAAATTCCTTTTTCCATGTTTATTAAATCATCATTCCCAACTACCCATTCATAAGAGTAATCTTGGTTAATTTCTTTACCTTCAACTTATAAATTTTAGAGCATATTATTTAATTTTTATGATAAACTTATTATAAATTGAAACAAAATACATATTATTATTCATATTCAAACATTTCTGAATTTAGTATTCAACTAACTTAGATAACAAATATTTGATAAATTTCATACGATAATTTATAAATCAATATTTGTTGGTTCTCCTCTCTCCACTTTATTTTCACTCTTAACAATCACAAACCCGATTTGACTTAAGGTGTTTTCTCTCTCTTTTAAGTTCAATTGCATTCTGATAGAATTGTAGTATAGAAAGCTAACTGTGTCTAAGTAAATTTATAGTCTATGTTTTAATTAGGCTTATATCTTTCCTTTTTTTAACTTCTTTTCATTTCTTTGCGTCTTTCCTTCGTATTACTTTTTTGAATTAACAATCTATATTTAGTAATGTTGCATCAAGTAGTGTAGATCAAGTTTTAAATCATCACGTTACTCATCATCTTATTTTTGAGAATAGTTGCAAAATTGGGATTGGGTCTACTAAATTTTTC